ATCACATTTTATTCTGCCAGGTAGCTTTTGCAGTACGATGTAGAACTGCCATCAGAGTGATTGCACTTAAAGCATCTGAGAGGAATTTGGAGTCTCAATCACAATTCCTCGTCAAAGCCTATAAATTTACTAACATTGCATACGGCAACAACAAATCAGGAAAATGGGAATGAAGGCTTCCAAAGAATACAGCGAGGATACCATTAACATTCCATCACTGCATCGTGCAATAGTCTCCTTGATGGTACTGTTTTTTGTGTACGTCTTGAACCAGACAGATAGACAAGTTCTACCCGTCCTCATACCAGCAGGTTTGTTTAATCGCACCGTGCATTTCGGTGAAACAGTTTTTTTCTGTGGAGAACTCTATCTTGTGTTTCTAGTATCTTTGTCGCTACCATTTACTTGCGATATCTAGATATCTTATTGCTTTTACCAGTCATCAAACCATTTTAACAATTTTATTTTTTTTGCTATCTTTTATGTAGCTTTCCCAAGAACCTCTATTGACAAGGAATGAAAAAAATAAGACAGTTATATTGAAAAATTTGGCACTACAATTAACATGGTCTAATCACACAAAAATGATTATTGTTTTAAGTAGTAGTACTGTGGTATTGTGTGAGTTGTGATATGTCATTGTCGTCACACATACGCATAATATGGATAGAACCTATCCACAGCACCCACAGCTTTAGAGCTTTCTGTGATTTATCAAATGCAATCATCATAATCATGTATTTCCATGACTTTTTTACATTAATTTTTCTGTCAATGCTGTGTTCAATTTTTGACATTTACTTTGATACAAAGTGTCAAAATTATGTTGATAACAACTATGATTTCAATTAAGGTTTAAGGTGCTCCTTTAACAGTTCTGATCAGTGCGTCGTTCTCATAACCAATAACAAGACACCGAAATGCGATTGCATAGATTTTGACGACACACAGGTATAAATTCATTATGATTTTCTTGATCTCGTATAGTTTGACTTAATCATGGTTGACTCAGTCATTTATGCCTTATTCATTTTGTGTCATATTCTGTCATCATCTATCTTTATTCATCATCTATAGTAATTTAGATGGCTTCAGTGTCTGATATCTTTGAGGCACATATCAGATATGGCCCTTGTTTGAGATATTTTTTATAAATATTCAGTTTCTGACGTTTCCTTCTATCCGATGGGAATGTGTCGAGTGGATAGAAACGCACAAATCACATGTTTACAAGCAGATCTTTCTCTTTCGGAGTGACATGGGGATAAATTGATCTCTGCATTAACCGAGAAATTTTGAATTAATTTGCGTATATTTTACCATGTTAATAAAAAGAAGATTTAATTTTTTTTGACAAATATATTATTACTTTAATAGAGATCTTAGATAAATGTGATGTTAAATTATGATGTTAATAATGATGATATACTAATTATGATGATGATGATGATATTGGATAATGATGGTAATGCTAATTATACAAATGATATGAGGATAATGATGAAAATGTTGATAATTATTTTAAGATACAAAGTTGATACACAATTTTCACTCATTGTATCTTTTTCCTGCAGCAAGGGTTCTTGACAAATATATTATAATACTTTAATAGAGATCTTAGATAAATGTGATATTAAATTATGATGTTAATGATGATGATGTACTAATTATGATGATGATGATGATATTGGATAATGATGGTAATGCTAATTATACAAAGGATTATGAGGATAATGATGAAAATTTTGATTATTTTAAGATACAAAGTTGATACAAAATTTTCACTCAATGTATCTTTTCCTGCAGCAAGGGATTCTCACTGGTGCAGCTTACACAGTCATGTACACTTTGGCGGGAATTCCATTGGCACGGGTAGCTGATAAGACGTCGCGTGTCATCATACTTTTAGCTGGTATCTTTTTCTGGAGCCTTATGGTTTTTCTGACTGGATTTGCAAAGAAATTCTGGGTATTATTAGTTGCCAGGATGATGCTAGGAATTGGAGAGGTGATAAGTAATTGATGTATTTTTTATTGATAAGTAATGCAGGGATGACTCTATCTAGATGGGTGGCTGACCATGACAGTACAATGAATACAGATGTTTGCGAGAAATGCTGCAAATGGTAGTGCAGATGTAGTTAGACACTTGCCTTCCAATCCCAGGGTCCTGGGTTCAATTCCGTGAGAGCACAGGATTTTTTCTCACGATAAAACTCTTATCTGCTCAGTAAGCCTCGTAGAGTTTCTAAAGCATCACATTATTTAATTTATTTAAGAGGACTAAATGTCAGTCAACCTTTTAGGATATGTGGAAACGTCACCCTGTATAAATTACGGGTAAAAATTATTATTATTAATATTATTATTATTATTATTATTATTATTATTATTATTTATTATTATTTTTATTATTATTATTAACCATATTTTGAGTGGGCGACCCTTACAGAACAAGTCTGATGTTCAGGAGCCCACTTAAATACAAAAATATAACATGTATATAAAAATAGAGCCTATTTATTAATTAATCATTTAATTTCAAAACAAAAAACACATAAATACAGAAATATAAAATTTATATAAAAATAAAACCAATCTAACAATGTAAAATAATAATTTAAAAAGCATAGAAACTTACACCAAGACACACACACACTTACACACACACACACACATACCCCCACACACACAAAAGAAAAGATCTATGAATATGGAGAATATAAATTGCTGTTGTAAGTTTAAATCTGATGCTGATTAGGATTTAAACTTTTTAAATTCATTCTTTCATGTTATTACTTTGACAACATTAATGCTTACTTAAATATCATTTTCTTTTTTTCTAGGCCTCCTGTAACCCGGCTGCTTACTCCCTCATTTCAGACTACTTCTTGCCATTGCATAGAGCCAAGGCTTTATCATTTTATCACTTTGGAATTTACGCGGGCAAGTTTATCACTATACATACATATTTGGTATCTATAGATTAACTGATATTCTTTTAGATGTTTTGATCAACTAGTAATAATAAATAATAGATAGAATAGCCAATTTTTTCTACTGCTTTCAAAATAATATCTCTATTTTTTATCTTATTATTATTTATAAAGTTGTTAAAAAACCCTGTCAAAAACCAGGAATCTTTATCAACTGAACAATTCATTTGCTAGTCTCACAATGATTCTTTTTTAAGAGCATAATTATTGGTTTTTTATCTTTTTATTGTGTTTGGCAGTACCAAAAACAATGCCTCTCCAGACAAACAAACAATAAAATATAATAATAAACCAAGTAAAGATGGTTTTTGTTGTTTTTCAGGTGGTGCTATAGGATACTCATTAGGTGCTCTGAGTTCAGTTATTTGTTGGAAATGGACATTTTTTAGTTTGTCAATTCTTGGCTTTGTTACGGTCCTGGTTGCAGCCTTTGTTTTACGCGAGGCTCAAAGAGAGGCACCTCTACTAAAATATGGATCATATACTATTAAGGTATTTCATTTTCAGATTTGTGACTTCATTCCACACTGAATTCAGTTGAATTATCAATATATACAGTTCATATACTGATACATATGTATAAGTATTACCGTATATATATATACTGTCTCTTATACACATCT